AAACAAAAAATAACCTTGTGTCTTGACGTCGTGAACCATGGCAGGTTCTTACCCGCGCTGATCCTCATGATGACATTTTGTTGGTGACGCAGGCATTACTGTGGGACTTATACCCGCTGACGCAGTTGCTGCTGCTAGAAGAAGCTTTGCGAAGGTGCTGGCTGCAGTTTCCACTGGCTTGCCGCAGGCCTTCGCCGGCAATGCGAGCCGCATAGCATGTTTTGAGTTGTCGGCACAGGACCGTGGTGCCACCGGCTGTCGGAAGCTTTCGGCCGGCCATCCAAGTCTTGCCCTTGCAGCCTGCCCCGCATTCTTCAGCACCCGATTGTGGGGGAGTTGGGGCTCGACTTTTGGTCCACTGACTCAATTTTGGTTGAAGATGCTACACCAAAAAATTCCACCAGACCTTCCACGCACGCTGCTGGCCTCGCAAATGTTCCAGAACAAGAAGAAGGTGCATTGAGTGATTATCATTTGCCAGAAGAAGAGTTGATAAACGATTACCCGGATCCGTTGCCACCACCACCTCCAAAGCGAGTATTTCGTTGGGGGCGATGCCCTCGGCAGTCTCAGCGGAGCATGCGGCCAAGAAAAGGCCAACTGATTTTGTTTTGCTCCGGCACAAAGAGAGCATGGCATCTGCAAAGAATGTCAACACCCTCCACAAAAAGGCAGGATCCTGAGCCAAAGGCTAATGCAAGAAGAACATCCAAGAACATGCTGCGACATTTCGCTGCATGCTTGTGCGGAAGTTCACTTCACGCTAGATCAACGAGAGAAGCAAGCTAAGCTGTTGCCTTTTGAGCGGATGCACATCTCATCGCCGTGACTACTTGCCTAGCGCCTAGCAGTGTTCCTTGCAAAACTCATGTCTGGCGAAACGTACACATCTTTCAAATGGTCTGGCAATTCATTGTAGCGGTTGCTCGGAAAAGCGGCTTCTTGCCAGCACAGTCGACTGCGGCCATCAGCACCATACTTCCACCGTCCGGCGCCACTCACAACATTAAGAATTGCCCGCTCCCTGGCAAGACCAAAGTCCTCAAAAACCTAAACGTTGAAATTGGGGGGCGCGTCCCAGTGTTTTGCGCTATGTGCAAACCATGTGCCTGTATAACAAACCATCAAAAACCTGAGTATTTCCTGGATTTTGAACCGGACTAAGCCCTCAAAACCGTGATTACAGCGCGGTCGGCTTACAGGCGCCGCAACCATGAACATGATGAAGAAAACGATGATGAAAATGATGATGATGCTGAAAATGATGATGATACTAAAAATGATGATGATACTGATGATGATGAAGACATGATGATGAGCATGATGATAATAATGATGATAATGATGATGAAATCGATGATGAGATTAATGATGGTGAAAATGAAAATGATGATGGTGATAGTGATGATGAACATGATGTTAAAATGATAACGATGATGAACATTACCATGACCATGATGAAGACGATGATGAAAAGATGATGAAAAGATGATGAAATGATGGTGGCAATGATGGTGGAAATGATGAAAATGATGATGAACACGATGATGAGACCGATGATGAAGATGATTCTGAACATGGTGATGAGAAGAACGATGAAACTGATGATGAACATGAGAACGATGAGGATGATAATGATCATGAAAATGTGGATGAACATATGAAAATGATGATGATGAATGATGATGAAACTCATGATGACAAAGCTGATGAGAAAACGGATGATAAACATGATGATGAGAATAATGCATAAGCACTACTCAGACGTATAACCACTCAAGAGAACAAACAAATGAATCTGGAATCCCCAACAGGCACCCAACCCATCCTTTGGGAATGGAAAAATGGAACACTTCGACTACCAGTTTGAACAAATCTAGTCGGAGATTCCCAAAAGGCACCCGTCCCTCTGGGAAGAACGATCATAAGAAGTAGAATAGCTAGACTACACCGTGAATCTGGAATTCCTCAAAAGGGACCCGTCCCGTTGCGAATAACTAGAATAATTTGGGTGTTTCCCAAAAGAAGAAAATATATTGAGTAGAACAATTAGAGAGAACATGAATCTGAAATTCCCAAAATTTGGGAATGAAGAATTTGAAAAGAAAGAGTCTGGAGTTCCCCTTCCCCCCGAGGCAACCGTTCCCTTGTTCCGATCACCCCACTTGAGTGCGATTGGAACTTTCCCTTCAGCGTGAGCTTGTGCCAAAGGTACTTTGGTGTAAACACACTGTAGCTCTTCCTTTCTTGCAGCCTTAACCTTGTTGGGGCCCAAGATTGCACCAGCTAGGAACTTTCAACTTTCTTCCCCAGCCCTTTTGCTTTCCAGTTCCAAAGTGCCATTTGCAAAAAAAAACAAAAAATCAACTGAACACCTTCAAAAAAGGAAAACAAACTAGACAGCAATGTGCTTTCAAAAGCAAACTAGTTCAACAGCGCGTGTCTACAAGGACGTTGTTTACTGGGCAAGAAAACCCTTCTTCCCTAGCTCCCAAGGCCAATTTGCAACAAATGCAAAAGTCAACTGAACAACTTCCATGCAGAAACATAAGCTAGCTAGCCAGCAACACACATTTCTTCAAGGACGTTGTGTAACGTGCAAAAAAGCAAAATTCAATAAACTAGTTAACCCATCAGCACAGCTCTACAAGCGCGTGGCTCCAATGACCGCCCCAGACGTCGCTGCAGAACTTCACAAGTGAACAGAAGAGGACCCTTTCGTCAAGCATGCTCAGCGCCTACGTGGAAAGCAGCAAATAACCAGCAAATAGCCTCATGAGCAACACACCGCGCTTTCATTCGCCATTGCACAGATATTCCTCAGGTAGGCCTGTCAAGGCAGTCTGAGCTCGCGCGAAAACAGAACTGGCCGATCGCGGCCCTGGACAAACGGTCAGCCCCCGCAAAAGCTTCAGTCATCCATTGGTTGCGCCCCCTTTTATCACCCAACATGCCATCCAACTACGGCCGCGTGAAAACGCACACGACATTGCTCGAAAAATATACGCGCCCAGCACCCTCAACACACCACAGAGGAGTTAATCGCCTTCTGGAAACAACACACAGTAGTCCAAGGGTGCTTGCAGCCTATGAAACTTGCGAGCATTTGTTCGGCTACAGCACGAAATGGAACGAAATTGCATGCCGCAACGATGCAAACCTTCATAATATACAAGAAGTATTCAAAAGCAAAACAAAGCAAATAATCGAATAACACATTTTGTGTAATTAAAATGTTTTGTTGAATGCCAAAGAACTTGAGCACAATTGGCGCCCTGGAGGCCTATCGCGGGTTCGCCGGCCCCCCAAGCGCGAAGTCCACAGCTGCGCGGGATCTGTGAGCCAATGGCTTTGAACATGAAAATTGTCAGCCCCCCTTGCTACTTGTTTTCTTTGTGAACCACAATGATTGCACACCAAGCCGCTGAGCCTGTCAGGCTTTGACTCACAGTGCAAACCAATGCCATGAGTCCACAGCCTCGCCAATGCGCAGTAAGTAATAACAAAAAAGAAACGCATTTCGCGCGCAACAGTGTGTCCCTGCCAGCTCCAAAACTTGCATTCCTATCAAGTCAACACTCAATTGCGCAATGCCACTCGTGCGCCACGCCCGAACTGAGCCCTGCACTAGCGTTTTTCAAAAACTGCGCTTTTTCTGGCAGTCTGGAAGTTAACAATGTGAGAAGAACGCACGCATTGTAGACGCCAGGTTTTGTAAAGCAGCCAAAACATGACGCAAGCACAAAATGCGGCGCCACAGATTTAGAACAAAAACCAGAAAACCTCGAACAAGAACACAAGCAGGTTTTCTGACAGCCCCAAACTAAGTCAGATGGGCAAGGCCTATAAAGCTTCTAGCACCAGTGTTGGAGTGAAAAACAGGAGCTTAACAGGACCTTCAAGTTCTTCAGCTGCGTTCGGCAGGTATTCATGCCATTCCTGCTCCTGCTCGGTGGCAGGAGGTGCGTCAGGAACAACGTTGAGTCCGCTGAGCGTCGCGCTCAACTCCCCGTCGGTTTCTAACTGCTTCCTGCAACGCTCGGGCACTGTGCGGCGAGTTGGTCAACCGACGTGCATCCTTCTTCACGTAGCCAACTCCTTCGGAGTCGTTGCACTTTGGCTACGCGAGAGCTTGCCGCTTCGGGATGTATCTTCAAGCATTCATTTGTCTGCAGCGTGCTTCCGTTGCAGTCTCTTCAGCTGGCGCTTGCACCCATGGGTCTTAGCCCTCAGGGTCTTCTCCTCGCCAGGTTTGGTGTTTCTGTCGAACCTTACCTACACAATCTCAACAACCCTGAGGTGGCGAAAGCGGTCCCATGGAAGATCCGCAAAGTAGACTGGCTCATTGGTTGAGGTCAGGTTCATGACGTCCTCGACGCGCTTGTTCTTAGACGAGTCCCAACGCTCGCCGTCCTCTCTCTTCGTTGGAAGGTCTATGCAGACGACCAATAAGAAGCTGCGCCTGAGCTGCGACGCGCGGCTGAAAGAAAATCTCTAAGACAAACACGAGTCATCACAGGTTCTCAGATCAACATTGCTCTCCCCTTCTGCCGCTGCCGCTGGCGAAGCGCCTGCTGCCGGCTCAACCATCTCGCGAGAATTTGCTCCGAGGAGCTCGCGCCAACAGCTTGCCAGCTAATGCTTGGAGAACTTGCTAGGGGAACTTGCCGCCGCTGCTAATGCTTTCGGGGCACCTATCTTCTAGGTATTACATTACACTACGCCACATTGCGTGACATTGCATGACTTTTGCATCCCGTTACGTTAGTTGAGTTAAGTACATCACGTCGCGTTTTTGCACACATGCTCTGGCATTGCTATTTGCACACGTGCGTATATGTGTTGCATTGCGTTGCGCTACATTACGCTGCGTTGCGTTACACTAGGGCCGTGCGCATGTGCGCGCGGCGTTGGCTAACGGTGACACATACCCATCGTTCAACAATAGCCGTACTGGGAACCAAACGCCTTCCCCCAGTTTGTAGAATCCGCCGAGCGGCCAAGGTAAGATCCCCTCCAAGGTGAAGCTGGGGCAGGAGTTTTTGGACAAAGGATCCTGGCCGACACAACATCTCCTGCTTTGTTCATCCCGTTGCCTTGTTCGTCCTTTCAGGGGTGTAAGGGCCAAGTCAAGGCTGCTCAGCCCAGCGCCCCTTTCGGCAAACATAAGCATCGGCTCTAATACTCCTGCGCCCAGAATCGTTGGGCTAGGCGACCAAGTCTCTCAACAGTGGGTTCGGAAACCAAAGTGACTTGCAAACTACAAATTACACCAGCAGAGACCCCAAACAGTTGAAGACTGACGGGCGGGCGCAAACATGCCAACAGCTTGCGCTGTCTGCGCTTCAAGACGGATGAATCCAAATGATGCAGTCGTGAACCTCGCACGAGTTGCGTTGCTGCACGTGTGTTGGCGGCGTGCTTCGCGCTTCAGCACCGAGCCAGAACTGAGGTTGGGCAAGTGCGTGCGATAGCGGCGCGCGGGCGTGTACGCAAGTGTGGCTGCGCAAGCGCGCGGTCACATGGGAGGTTCAGACACACCTGCCCAACTCAGACACACATGTGCGTACACGTGGGACACACCTATGTATACAACTGAAACAGTACACGCGGCACGCGCAGATGTGCACCCGTGAACACACACATATACATTCACCTGCGGCACGCGCATAGATGCGTTGAGCTCAACACCAGACATGTGCTTCTTGGAAATCACACACTGGCGTACACCTGGAACACACATATGTGTCCACCTACGACACGCTAATGTGTTCACGTGGAACACACATGTGTGTTCACTTGGAACACAATGAAACGCGTGTCCAACTTCGACACACATGCGTGTACACGTGGAACACACATCTGTTCACCTGGAACACAAACACGTGCAATTCAAGCACACATGTGTGTACACGTGGGACACGCATATGTATACCACTGAAACACAAATATGTGTCCGGGAACACCGCGCGTGCGATTAAAAGCACATATGTGTGCACATGTGGAACACATATGTGCACACGTGGAACACACACATGCATGTGTACTGCACACGTGAACACACACACATTTATGCGCAAGCGACACACACACGACTGTTCATCTGATAACAAAGTTGGATCACAGAAGTGTGTACAAGTGAACACACGTCTGTGAAAAAAGTGGAACACACATATGTTCACACGTGAACACACATATATGTGCCCCCGGAAAACACACACACGTGCGTTCATCTGAAAGCAAACATGTATTCACCTGAAACACAAACACGTGTCCATTCGGAACACACATGTGTGCACACGTGAACACACAAATGTGTAGACGTGCAACACACATATTTGTGTGTACAAATGAACACAGATACATGTGCACGCGGAGCAGACACACACACACACGTGTTCATCTGATAACAAACATGTGTTCTCCTGGAGCACAAACACGTGTCCAGTTGGAACGCACATGCGTGCACACTTGAACGCGCAAAAATGTTTACACAAGGAACACACAAATGTGCACACGTGAACGCACGCAGAGCAGACACACACACACGTGTTCATCTGATGAAAACACATGTGTTCTCCTGGACACACACACACGTGTCTGATAAGAACACACATGTACGCACACGTGAACACACATATGTGTACACGCGCAACACGCATATGCGCACACGTCAACACACATATATGTACACGTGGGACACACATATGTGTACACGCGAACACGCACACACATACATGCGCACCCGGAACACGCACACGGACACACACACGTATGTGCACATGGAGAGAAACATGTGCGTTCACCTAGACAGCAAACATGTGTTCACATTGAACTTACATTTTCTGTGGTGCGACACATATCAAGTTCCCAAAGCCGCCTGTGAAGCGATATTCCATGGGGCTCTGTCCTGAACAACGCTTGTGCTTTATAATTACGCGTGTTCCAAGTAGGAAAATAATGTTCGTGTGCGATCAATTTAGCTTTTTGGCCGTTGCTAGCGCGCGAGCCTGCTGCTGCTGCTGATGCTACTGCTAGTACTATCAGTATCGGTCGCGTCTCCAGCATTTACAGGCTTCATTCAGCTTAGAAAAAACTTTCCGGCGCTTTGCGCTTCTTTCTCGCTTCTCTGGACAGTGTCTTTCGTATCGAGCAATCTGTTGCTCGGTAGAACGCTCTAAAGCGCCTTTATCGTATTGTAGCAATTCTTGGTACCGATTCAGTGAAGCATTTGCTTCGCAGGGAAATATGCAACCCAATTCTTCCGTATGCTCGGTACAAGGCACCCGCGCCTTCTTGCCTCAGCTGTTTCTTATTTGTCCAGCGGAAGAAAATTCGGATGAGGCGTAACTAGGAACAAGTCACAGCTGACCGCTGCGCTGGCGCCTTGCTAGCGCGCCCATCTGTGTGGATTTGACAAATTAAGCCCACGTAAGATGAAGGTAAACGTGCGGGCTGGCTTCAAAGACTAAGTTTGAACTGCAACATTACACTCTTGAAAGCCACACAAAGCCCGTTGCGGCAACTCACGCACCAACTCTTGGAAACCAAAATCACCGAAGACCCCAGCGCAAACCAAGCGCCATCCTAGCGCCTCCAGTGGGGAGCGGGCAATCCATTGGTATTTGCAAGACTCCTCTTGGTATGAATGTAAACTGCACGAAGTGACTGCGGTGGCCTCTGTAGACTAGATTCCCGTACTAGGAATTTTGACCGGATCGCATATGTGTTTTATCAGAGCGATCGCACGCTTTCATCTGGAACACAAGCATGTGCTCACGTGGAACACACTCATGTGGTCACATGCAAAAAGCGCGTGTTTACTTGGAACGCGCCGATAACGCATCGATGTGGTCAGCTGGACACACAAAGAACACACAATCATTCACTTGAAGCACTCATGCGTGCATCCGCAGCATGTTGCTTGTGGCTTTATCAAGCGCATGCTCAACATTCCTTTCTGAGCCTCAATCACACACGCGTGCCCGCGGAATACCCCGCAAATGAGTCCATCCACCAGGGAGCCGTGCCGGGCGTCCAAACTGGGGACAAATGAAGGGAGACAAAGACAGACAAATGAATGATCCCTTCCATACAGAAGGAGAGAATGCGGGAGAAATGAACCAGTCCGCCCACACAGCCACGCCAGACGTCCACCAAGAGAGCCGTGCCAGGCATAGGCGAGAGTCACTCCAAATGAATTTAGAACCCCTCACAGTAAACTGTTTGGGGGGCTACAAAACCTGATTTGCAGGCTTGATTCGGAGACCCAAACCCTCGGCGCAAGAACTACCCAACACTGTCGTGGGGTTCAGGCAGCTCCGACTTGTCAACTATGGGCGTACCCCAACCCAAGCCTAGAACACCCAACCAACCAACCTTACACCAAACCTGAAACACCCTACATCCCTGAACCCCCTAAGCCAACTTTTGTAGCTTCTACCAATGTGGGAGGCGCCGAAGTTTCTGAAGCCGGAATTTGCAGTGCGGCCGTAGTTTCTGAGTCCGAAAGGCGTCCAAGAAGGAAATGAGACACAGCAGCAAACCGTCCTGCGCCCAACCCCTGCAACACATGGCCGCTGGCTTCCTTTTCCTAGCTCGCCAGTTTGCAGCGCGTTCCACAGCGCAGGCCACACTCTCACTGAGAATCGCAGCACATCACGTTTGAGCGTGTGTCAGAACAACGTGCGCAAATCTGCAAATCTCTAGCACAGCTGCGGCGGCAGCCCAACCGTGACGGATACTCAAACAAATTGGACCTTCGGAGGGTGCCGCCTAATCCGCCGACATTGTGCGACGTGTCGGACAATTGAGAGGAGGACAACCCCCCCCCCCGACACGTCAATTACGTAAGGTTTGGGGGGGGGGGGCCCTGCTTGCTTCTGCAGTCATGGGGCCCCACAATCTCATATTCTCGCACTCAGTGTGGCTCCATGCGCTTGTGAGAACCCACAAACATCCACATCCATCCAGCGCGCAGCAAAGATAGATCCAGGGCCACAGAGCAGCATTACCATGGTGGACACTTCCTTGTTAGGGACCAAGTGGTTTTGGACTCAATTGTGGAGGCGGTTTTCAGAGAAGGCTTGATGGAGGCGCAGGCCTATCAATGGGCATCGCTGAAGAGAAACTCTCCTTATCGCTGCAGGCGCCATTGTGTGAGGGAAAAGTCAGCTGGCTCAGGTATGAGGAACTTGTGGATGAGCATCAGTCAGATCGAGCACGTCGATCTTGCTGCATGCAAGTTCCATGGAGAAATTGCTGGCAAAGGCCTCAACCAACTGTGTGTTTGACGACGCTGACAGCATCAGTCGAGTTTCCACGTCTGGAGCCATCCAAGAATGAGATTGTTCGCGCATCCAAGTCATCCGAGGCGAAAGAGGACGCAGGTCAGCGTAATGTTGAGAACTGGACGCAGGAAGCTAAGCACATGCAATAAATTAGGAAGGCATGAACATATGTTCTGTAATCCCGACCTCTGCAAATGCGATGATGGCGGGGCCATGTGCTGTGTTGTGTGCAAGCCATTCAACTAGAAATGCCTTGTTCTGTAGCATTGCACGACCTGCTGGGCGCACGTCAACAGTCAAGAGGTTGCCGATCAGGACTGCCTTGGTCAGCTCATTTGCTTTCGCTGAATGTTTGGCCAAAGAATCTGCAAGGCAATCTTCACTTAGTTCATGCGCAAGGTCGTGCATCTGTCCGCTTCTGCTTTCCTTCCTCTTTGCTGGGTTGTCGGGGCGGTTGTAAACCAGGTTAGTTGCATTGGTTCGAGTGTGCGCGTCAGAAATTTCACCTGTGATGTCTGACCAGAGACCGAGAAGAGAAAGCAACGAGATGTAAGAACGCATCAGTCCGTGCAATCCAGCAACTGTGGTGGACATTGTGGCAGCGGTGGTCTTATGCGTCTCATAATCGGTCAGAAAACTCCGAGATCTCGCTCTTCAGCAAGAAAGACACCACACACACGTTGGGATGACTCGTCCTCATTATTGCAGCATAGGATGCGTCAGGGTAGCCGATGATGCGAGTCTTGCCATGGAGTAGCCTGAAATG